TGCCATCCTGTGCAGTACTAGGTGACACCAACATCCCCTGGTCTCCATGCCCAAACACCTGGGGAATCCCGGGTACACACACACACACACACACACACACACACACACACACACACACACACACACACGCGCGCGCGCGCGCGTGCGCAGACACTATCTTTCGGACGTTATCAGCCTCCATCTATAGGCAAAAAATCCCTTGGGCTGGGACCCATTGGTGGAAAGGGTGAAGGTTTGCAGCACCAATGGAGGCAGGAGAGTCTTTCTTTCCTCGCACTGTTCACCACGGTAGCAGAGCACTTAGCTCTTTTCCCAGTGAATACACATCCCGCGATGCTTTCTCCCTGCCCTTGTCACCCTTCTGCTCTGCAGAGCCCCAGGACAGCACACCCCAGTGCCCTGCAAGAGCACGCAGACCTCAGCAGCAGCAGCTTGGGAGTCTGGGTGAACTCACAGCCCTCCTTCACTGGCGAGCCTCCTGGCTGGCTCTGCGGTAAAGCCAAGGTCCTTCACAGGTACCCTCTACAAACTCACCCCCCCATTGCTCCTCCTCCTGGTCAACTACATGTCAAGGGAGTCATCCCTCTTGCTGCCTTAGGCCAATCACAGGGCTTTTGCAGGGCATTCCCTTAACCTAGGATGCCCTTCCGCTGTTTGGCCAAGAGAATCTTCTCTGCTATGGCGTATTCAGAGAATTGTCCTTTTTCCAAGAGGTGACCCTGCTGAGTCACCTTGTCTGCAACTGCCTCCCTTTCCTCCTCAGCATTTTCTCTGATTTATCTTGCTGTGTGTTTTAAGGAGTCATCTGATCAAATGGCCGCCTTCCTCCCTTGCAAGCCTCATGGCAAAGGATTTTTACTGCTCTATCTTTGGAATAGTGACTGTGCGCAGTAGGTGCTTAACAAACTGTGCATAGTAGGCAATTAACAAACTCAGTTGAACGAATGCTTCTTCAATGACCGTCACGTCTGAGATCACAGGGCCAACCAAGGGACCCACTCCCCTTCCTACAACCTTGTTCACACTTCATGGGACATGCCATTCAAGTAGCACATCACAGGGCAGGAGACTAGCTCTCAGTCGGTAGCATACTTGCCTAGCATGTGGGAGGTGCCAGGTCTAGTTCCCGGCACTCCGTAAATCAGGGGTGGTGGTACTCCCCTGTAATCCCAGCCACTCTGAAGATGGAGGTAGGGAGGGGAAGAGTTGAAGGTCATCCCTAGCTACACTGGACATTTAAAGCTAGCTTTTGGGCACACGGGACCCTGTATCGAAGTTTAAAAAAATACTTTAAAACAGCACATCAAAAGTGTCTTGCCATCTGACGGCTGGCCGGAGTGAGGCAGGTCCCATGTGGTTTGCCGGGTTACACCAAGAGACTGGGTGTTTCTCCCCTCTCTCAGTGGTACCCCCAAAGCGGTACTTCTCAGCCACTAGAATACCAGGATGCCCTGCAGGGTTCTTCATTTGCCACGCAGACTCAGGACATCTCTTCAGGTCCCAAAGCCTTGGGGGGTCCAGGTAGACGGAGCTCTTGTCCCCAGGTCCTGGTTCAGGACCTCGCTTTGAGAAGCATCACCCCAAGGAGACCCTCATCTGCCAGAGTCGATGAATTCGTGGCTCTAAGGGGGACACGTCCGGGAGCAGGGCCCTTGGCATGGGAGCGCAGCTCATACGGTACCAGTAGCTGCGGGGCCTTAGGCAGGCCGCCAAGAACTGCCGTCAAGGAAGTGTGGTGCGTGTGTGCACATAGACTCCTTTCAGGGCAAAGGGACGCAGCTCACAGAAAAAGAAGATACCTGGGGATCACTGCATTAAAGCGAATTGAGTCTGTCTCAGAAAGACAAATGTCATGTTTTCTGTCATTCGCGGTTCTTAGAGACTTTTTTTTTTACCGAGTACGTAAAAATCACATGTGAACACATTACATGAAGGTGTAAGTACCTCTGTCTAGATTGAAGAAAGGGTGGAGAGGACCAAGAAATGAAATGAGGGGATATCTGAGGTATTTGTTCAATATATAGTACAGATTCCTATGGATATTTAAAACAGGAAGGAGAATGGCCCGTTGCGGGTGGCAGGCAGAGGCAGCCATTTGATCTGGCTGCCTGGGTCGCGGGAGCACAGGGGAGACAGCCTGATGGGCAGAGCCCCGCCACCTGGCAAAGGAAGGCAGTTGGTGCAGCCACGCCTTAGGGAACACTAGCTCTGGCCTGTGCGGCCAGCCTACAGCGAGCCATGGATACCCCACTGTAGATGGAACTGTGGGGGGGGTGGGGGCTGGCAGCTGGGAGAGGCTGGTGCCCCAGGGGACCCTTGGTGCACAGCACTAGCAGCTGGTTTCAGTTTTGAACACTGCCAGCCGACTGTAGGAAGCCCAGGGTGTTTCCTGTGAGGGAGGGAGAGGCAGGATCACCCCTGAACCCTGAAGCTGGGTGGTGATGGCCAGTGTCTACAGGACAACTTGAGATTAGCTTCTGTCTGCAAGAATCCTGCATGGCCAAGACAGACCCACGAAGACTGCCCCGCTGTCTCTGCCACCGCAGCGGCTCCCTTCTCTCTGATGTCCTTTGTTATGTTTTCTAAGAACAATCTGAATGGACACAGTGCTCACGCAGTCACTTATGTTTTATGTCAGGTTCAGCGGGCTCCACCATGCTGTCCCTCTCTCCTCCCTCCATCTTCCCTCCTTCCTCTTCCTCCTCTGCAGGCTCCTCTGCGGTGATGGATAGACAAGGACAGAGACAGAGAAAGCCACAGCCAAGGGTTCTGCCCCACGGGGACGGAGGTGGGCCTGGCTCTGCCAAAGGCAAGGCTACGAAATGCACTTCTCTCATGAAGCTCCATAAAGAGCAGCAGAGACCACGCAGGTCCCAGGCCAAATGCCATCGCCGGAATCCAGTGTTTGAACTTGGTTCCAAAAGGCACGTCACTTATACTCCATATAAGCCCAGGTCAGAGACAGGAGAATTCACCGGGCTGGGGACAAGGAGATGGGCCAAGTCTTCGTCAGACCTGAAGGGATTGGGCACAGCCAATCACTGAGTCCCCTGTTGCCACCTGTCTGTGGGTGAGCCATGTCCGGCTCTCAGCGTTCTAAGTAGACGGTGGACACCTCCAAGCCCTGCCTCCCCTCCGGCACTTCTCCGAGTAGTGGGACAACCCCCACACTCTCAGTACTTACAAGGCAGAATCAGGAAGGTTCCGAGTTCAAGGCCAGCTTGGGTGACATAGTGGGGGACTCTGTCTAGAAAAACTACAACCAGAAAGCAAGCAAGCAAAGAAAGCACCGAGTGGGGGCACCTCAGAGGCCAGGCCAGTGCCCCTTGCCACCCACCGCCCCAGGCTGCCCCAGAAGCCACGCTGCTAACAGCTCCTTGGAAGTTCTGTGGTTGACACCTGTGCTGACACCACTAGGGCAGCTGACGCAACGATTTCCAGCACTTATGAAACACAACAATTCAGACATATTCAGCATTGAGACACACACGTAACGAAGCGACCCTCTCATAGCTGCGGTGTGTGTGTGTGTGTGTATGTGTGTGTGTGTGTGTGTGTGTGTGTGTGTGTGAAAGGGGTCCTGGGTGTTGAGCCCAGCAACTCTTGGTTTCCATCCAAACTGTTGAGTCCCTTTAAGCTGCACGTCTAGGCTGGCCAGCCGAGTGCCTGCTCAGAGGTTTCCTCATCCATCAGATGGGAAGAGGCCTCCACCCCCTGGTGCTGATTAGAGGGTCCATGATCTACTAGGGATGAAGGGGCTTTGTGCTCCTGAAACACAAGGAAATTAGGACTCTGTGTTTAATGGAGATCGTAGTGGATTATCTTTGTCTCTGGTTTTACACGTGTTCCCCTGAGTATACATACAGGATAGCGTAATGGAAATTAAGCTACCTACCTACCTCTGTCTGTCTGTCTCTGTCTGTCTGTCTGTCTGCCTGTCTCTCTCTGTCTCTGTCTCTCTGTGTGTATGTCTCCCTCTGTCTCTGTGTCTGTCTGTCTGCCTGTCTCTGTCTCTCTCTCTGTATGTCTCTCTCTGTCTTTGTCTCTCTGTTTCTCTCTGTCTCTCTCTCTCGGGGAGGGGAGAGCCACAGTATACAGTAAGGAATTCTGGGGACAGCCTTAAGCATCAGTCTTCACCCCACAGACTTTTTGAGCCCCGTCTTCTTGTAGTTTGGCACTGTTTATGTCAGGCTAGCAGGCACCCGAGCCCCCCAGGAGTCCCCAGCGCCTGCCTCCCATCTTCTTGCAAGGGTACTGCCATTACAGACCTTCGCTATTATCCGTAGCTTTACTTAGGTGCGGGGGATTCGAACTCAAGTCCTCACACTCAATGTGGCAAACGCTTCACCCACTGAGCAATCTCCCTATCCCTCCAGCTACTTTTCCGACTTCTGTGTGGATGAAATGCTCCGGATTTCTAGGGATGGTTGGAGGAAACATTCTAAGAGCCAGCCACGTTTCCACGACAAACTCGAGAAACAACAGCTATGTGAGGCCGGAGAAGCCTAAGTTGAAATAAAAGCATCGTTCATTAAAGTGCATTAAAGGGGGACAGCCACCGCCGGACAGCAGGCTAAGGCTGAGTGCGCAGACAAGGGGGACCCACGGGCAAAATCAAGTGGTTTGGACAGATGCTACACTGCCTGGCCACTAGTTGACACTGTGTCTCCATAGAAACACAAGACAGCAGTCTTTTCGAGGCGATGAAGCCTCAGAAATGAACTCTGCCATATGCGAGCAAGGCCCCCTCCCCCCCAGCTCTTGCACCTGGGACACAGAATTGAGCAGCGGTCTTCAAAGACAATTCTTGGTAAACGCACTATTGGTTTTGCAACCTCTGTCCTCGGCCCAAACCACTGGAGAGTACGTTTTCCTAGAAGTGTCCCGTTACGAGATAGCGGCCTCACTCTCTGAGAGCCCTTGAAAGAGAGCAGAGGAGCTACACATCTCAGCAGACGGGAAGAATCCAGGTCTGAAGAGGCAAGGCCAGCTTTGCTTACCTGGAACCGTTCACCTGGCTGGGGTTGCACTCCATCTTGATGGTGACCCTGGCTGGGGGTTGAGACAGCCAGTCCTGCTGGGGGACTCGAGGACTCATCTTGGATGTCTGGCCATAGTCACTGGAGGAGGATGCAGTCATCTCCGTCTTAGCCAGGTGTGGCGTTCCGTAGGCGCACTCGAACAGCGACTGGTCCTCGCTCACAACAGATAAGGCCTCCTGGGCGAAGAGACAGAGAGGGACACGGTGTCTGGGAGCCATCTCCAAATTCAGGGGACCAAACTTTACGTAGTTCCAAAGGCCTTCCTCGCTACCTTCTACTTAAGAAAGGAGGAAACAAAGTACCTTTGTTCTCTTCGCTGCACACTGTAAAAAGTTGGAGCAGCCCAGCCTAGACGTGCATAGTTGTAGGTCTCAAACCCCCTAGCCTGGACTGTGTGGGGGCAGACAGTACCCACTTTAATCTCAACACAAGGAAGTTGAATTTCAAAGGTCTCAGAAGACATCCAATTGCATCTGTCATCATTTGACAAATGCAATCTATAATTCAAGTGGACAGGTCGCAGAGCGGTGGCGAGGATTAGAGAAGGAACCGTGAAGGCTGACACCCAGGCACCTGGTGTACCCCACGTTCCGGGACACTCTGAAAGAGGAGTCCTCAGAAGAGAGGAGGGAGACACGACACCAGAGGACAGCCAAAGGCACGGCCTTTTCCACTCTGTTATTAGCGGAATAGGGTTTCACACAACGCTTCCCATGATGGTGGCCACCTGGGTGGTGAAGGAAGCAAAATAAAATAATAATAATAATAAAAAGCTGTGAGTTACCCAGATGCCTCCAAATACCGGGATGTTTGAAAGATCTGGACCAGTAAAGGACTAGCCCAAGCTTGCTGATATTTTCTTCTGTCCTCTGATATTTTCTTTCTTTCTTTCTTTCTTTTTTTGAGAAAGAAAACAGCAACTTGTCCCAATGGGGACTTTTTTTTTCTGTGCTTGAGCAAGTGGTAGGCCTATATTTGTAATGGAGAGTCCATGAGAGAGTCAGCGAGGGCATTATTTGACTTAGAGATTTCAGCTGCTTGAATGACACATCGTACAGCTACTGCTTACGGAACAATCCGATGTTCTAGAACAGGAAAAAAAAAGCCCCTCCTTAAGACAGCTCATGACTGTGTCTGTTTTCATCCTTAGGAGGCCTGCTCAGCACCGTTATCAACTAAGGAGAAGTCCACCGGCGCTGTGTGTGTGTGTCCATGTGCATGTGTGTATGTGTGTGTGCCCATGTGCATGTGGGTGTGTCTATGTATGTCTGTGTATACACATGTACAGGTCGTGTTGATGGAAGGTATCTTCCTAAAATTGTTCTTCATCTTGTTATTTTGAGGCAGAAACTCTTCCTGAACCTGACGTGAGTTTGCTTGACCTCCTAGTGAGTGAGCACCCGAGCATTCCTGTCTCTGCCTCCCAATGCGGGGGATTCCAGGTGCATGGTGCGCACGATCACACCTGGGTTTAACATGGGTCCTGGGAACCTAAATTCAGGTCTTCATATTTCTATGCAAAACACTTTGGTCACTGAGCCGTCTCCCCAGCCCTGGATATATATTTAAATTGAACTTGGGACCCAGTGAGGAGGTGGGGGAAAAGCCTTAGAAACCTTTCTCACCATCACCCAGAACCGTCAGAGCTGAGCTAACCGTGAATGAGATGCCAAGGCAAGCCAGGGAGTTTGTGCAAGCCAACGTCACCACCTGTTTCCTGGTTCCACCGGGAAACGTGCTCACAATGGCACTCTAGTCTCATTCTTCAGGCAGACCTTAAAGGGAGCAAAACTGCTCACACAATCAGTAGCAGAGTTTTCCACAGCACCCTGTTGAAGATGAAGCCTTTCCTCCCTCCTTCCCTCCCTCCCTCCCTCCCTCCCTCCCTCCCTCCCTCCCTCCCTCTCTCCCTCCCTTCCTCCCTCCCTCCCTCCCCAGACATATCAGAACCACACCTTTCCATGAAGCAATCCCCCTCCTCCCTCGTTCCTTCCACCGTATTTCACCACCCCATTTCAGCCCCCCTCCCCCCTGGGACCAAGCATCTCTCTGTTTCCCACAGGCACAGGCTTCTTTGGTTGACTGTGCTGAGCCTATGCATAAGAAGCAGGCGAAGGAACCCTCTGCCCGCCTCTTAATGGGGGTGGCAAGTATCTGTGCACACACAAAGCTCAGCCTTGACTTGAGCCTGCCATAGCTCTGTAGCACCTAGGGAACGAGCACGGAGGGAGTTGCAACAGGAACTGAACCATGGGTTGTGTCAGCCAGAAAAGCCAGAAGCAGGCGCAAGGCGGGGTGTGCATCTTGGCTGTGCAACACATTCATACCCACACACAGGTTGTGAAGTTGCAGCCCCAGGAGATGGGGGTACCAGGGGCACCCTGAATGTCAGAGCATATGAATTACAAAGCAGCCTTTCCTGGTCTGGGTCTCGTTGGATGCGTGAGTTAAAGGACTTTAACCTCAGAGTTGTAGAGTCTAATAGGTTCCCCAAAGTCCAATAAAGTCCAATAGACCTACTAAAGCTGGGCTGTTACATGTTGGATTTATTTTTTTGGGCAGGTCCCTCTTCTTATGGTCATGTGGACAGTTTACATCCTCAGAACAAAAAAACCAGGCTGGCAGCCACTCCTTGTCAGGCAAGAGGACTCGAGCGAGGCTCATGAAGAATAACACACTATGTTAATGTTAGCTTTGGCTCTTTGATGAGAAGACACATGAGTAAAATTATCAGAAACTGGAAAAAACAGGTTACACAGAAGGGACTGGAAAAATGTGTGGTTGCGTTTTAAAAAAAAAAGTTAGAAGTCTTGAATAGCAACAAAAGAATAGTAACTTAAAATTTTTATTCTCCGAGTACAGTAAGATATTCTTGTCAACAAAGCCATTGGGAAAATACATGTGGTGCGGGGTTGTTGGGGGTGGACTGAAATATCCCCGCTGAAATGAGGCCTAAGTGTGTGCGCTTGGGAAGGGGTCGTCTCACATCTGGCAAAGTATAATTTCACACATGGTCTTCTAAAGAAAGAAATCAAAGTTAATTGAGATCGATTTAAGTGGGGAAAGCCTTAAAACGCCAGCGATAAGAAGGGCACACGGCCTTTCTTCCCCTCAGAACATTCTAGCTAGAGCTGCATAAAAATGGGGAAGCTGACGCAATCCAAACACTCTGCTGCTTTGTTCACGAGGAAAGAAGGGTTCTAAAAGGGCTGACGCTCTGGGACAATGCTTCAAAGCAGGTAAAACATGGAGCCCATCCTAAAAAGAAGTCCAAAAGCACCCCCCAAATAACACACACGCATACGCAAAACACACACAACACACACACACAAAGTACATAACACACACAACAGACACATACAAACAAAACACACAGACGCACAAACACACACAACACATACAGACACACACAAAACACAGACACACTAACACAGACAACACACACAAACAGACACACAAACATACAAACAAGACACACAGACACACAAACACACACAATACACAGACACACAGACACACACAAACAAAACACACACAACACAGACACATACCATGCACACATCACACACACATACACACAAACAAAACACACATATACACAAACAAAACACACATACACACACAGACACACAACACAAGCATACCCACAAACAAAACGCACACAAAGACAACACACACACACAAACAAAACACACACCACGCACAAACAAAACATACACATGGGCACTGAATACACACACTCCTACACGCACGCATCATACACACATAGACACCCACATGCACACCACACACACACACACACACACACACCACACACACACACACACATACACACACACACACCACACACATACACACACACACACCACACACACACACACACACACACCACACACACACATCCCCCCCACACGGGGAGGTAAAGAAAGCCGAAGGATAGATTGTGAGTCCTGTGTCACTGAATTGAGGAGCTGGATGAAAAGCTGGCCAGGGACGCAAGCATTACTTTGTTCCCGGTCCACCCACACGGTTTCAAGTCAGAATGATACTACGACAAAGCCTGAGCATCCAGCGCCTCCCCTGCCTCCAGCCCAGTGCACTTCAAACTGAGAGAGGACTGGCTCGGTGGGACAGGCACCAGGAAGAACTGAGGGAGACCCCGGAGCCCGGGAGGTCCCTAACCTCCAGCCCTGGGGAGAATTTCTGACCTCGCTTCCTAGCTGCCCTGCTCTGTTACCTGGCCATCTGGCCTGCCCACTGCCCTGCCTGCCTACCTGCCCTGGGGTCTGTCAGCAGAGACCTTAGATAACGGGGCTACGGCTGTTTCTTTGCAACTTTCAGCCAGCCCCAGGGCTTGGGAGAGCCTGGGTTGCTTTTAAACCCCAAATTCAAAACCAGTCAAAATCTGGCAGAAATGTGGCCTAGTGATTTAATATCCCTGCCTCTGCATCGCTTTAAAAAGGCCTGCACCTCTAGATCAGTGTGTGCCAGTGTGCGGGGGTGTTAGTTCTGTCGCTCCAGGAAAGCTGGGGTAGTCTGATGTGGCCAGTGGCTGCCTCCCAAGGCCTTAAAAGAAGCACATAAATTCTAAACTTCCCCCAGGGGGAGAAAAAAAAGGTACCACTGTGCTGACCCACCAATGTTTATTGTCTCATTTGAGTCCCCATGGTATCAGCAACAGGACTGCCTTCATTTTGGTCCCCATTCTGTGATAGCACTCAAGGAACAATTCAGAAAAGGGAAGGAAAGCCAGCTAGATTGAAGTATCAAAAATGAGCATATATGTTCAAGAAACTGAATTTGGATACCAAAGGTCTTCCAAAGGAGTTCCATTAAAAACAGAAATGACAACTTTTCATTTCACATGTTTACTGACATCTCCAGTAAAGGACTTCAGGGTGATGTGGGGAGAGGGGCTGTGCCAGGGTGAAAGACCCACGTTTGGATCCTCAATACCCACATAAAAAGTCATATCCATCATCCCAGGGCAAGAGCATCCTTGGGACCGGACTGGCTGAACAGTGATGTAATTAAAGAAGGCTCTACACTGATCTCTGACCTCCATCTCTCTCTCTCTCTCGCTCTCTCTCTCTCTCTCTCTCTCTCTCTCTCTCTCTCTCACACACACACACACACACACACACACGACAGACAGACAGACAGATTTAATTAACCC